TTGCTGGCGTACAAGGCACGCGTGTGACTGTGACCGGTGAGCGTTTGCTTGGAGGCGGAAGCTCCATTGCTGCTGTACAGGTTGCTGGTGTGGAAACACGTGTGATTGAGTCCAGCAACAACACGCATGTTGTGCTGCGAGCAAGCAACGGCACGGGGAGCGGAGACATTGAGCTGATTGCGGACACGGGCGCGAAGACTGTGGCGAATGTGACGTTCAGCTACCTGGAGCTGGGTGTTATTACTGCAGTGCGCCCGGCTATTGGGCGCGTGGGCACGCTCGTGACGATTGAGGGCGAGCGGCTTCAGAGCGGAGGGAGCGCTGTGGCACGCGTTGACCTGGGTGGTGTTCCTGCAACGCTGCTGCACGGCAATGACAGCACGGTTGTTGTGATTTGCTCTGCAGGCAGCGGTGCTGGTGCGGTGCGCGTGACAAGTGACGTTGGCGGCTTTGTGGAAGGTTTGCTGTGGACATTTGTGGACTCACGCATCGACAGTGTGGAGCCGAGTCAGGGCCAAGAAGGCACCGTTGTACGCATCCACGGGAGTGGGCTGTTTGGGGGCGCGACGGGCGTGGCCTCTGTGACCGTGGCAGGTGTTGCGGCAACGCTGCGCAGCCCAATTCTTGACTACTTTGCCGTGGTTGAGCTTGGCAGCGCGCCTGCTGGTACAAGCGGTGCTGTCGTGGTGGTTGCAGAGAGCGGAGCGCGGGTTGTGTCTTCACAGACGTTCACGTATGCGGAGCCGGCGACCATCGCTGCGGTTTCGCCATCGAGTGGGCAGGTAGGCACTCGCGTGACCATCACGGGCACGAACCTTCTTGGTGGCGGCGCTGCTGTTGAGCGGGTGACCCTTGCTGGCGTTGAGGCGTCGCTTGTGGCGCAGAGCGCGACCCAGATTGTGGTTGTCGCGTCCCCAAGCCGTGAGCGGGCAGCCGGGCCTGTCGTGGTGTACAGCGATACTGGTGCGTTTGCGCGGCTGGAGAGCGCGTTTGCGTACCAGATTCCCGGACGCATTTCGACGCTTTCCCCGAGCAGCGGGCAGGCTGGCACCGTGGTTGAACTGACCGGGTTCAACCTGCTTGGTGGCGGAAGCGCGCTCTCCTCACTGTCTGTCCATGGCGTTGAGGTTGAGCAGGTAACGTTTGCCAGCGATGCGCTCATCGCGTTTGTCGTGCCTCTGACGTCGGTGCAAGGGCTGGGTGATGTGCGCATTGTGTCGGCGAGCGGTGCCACGGTTGAAGCCGGGGACGCATTTACGCTGCTTGAGCCTGGGCGCATTGTGGGCGTTGCCCCCGAGCGCGGCCAGGAAGGCACGTTTGTGACGATTGTGGGCGAGCGGCTGCTGGGCGGCGGCGAGACGATTGCGCGAGCGGTGCTTGGTGCAACTGCTGCCGAAGCTGTTGTATCGTCGAGTGATGCTCGGGTGGTTGTCAGGGCTGGCGCAGCAGTGACCTTTGGGCCTGTTGGCGTGACGCTGTGGGCGGACACGGGCGCAGTTGTGAACACATCTGCGGGCCTGTTTGAGTACCTGGCACCTGGCATGGTTGCGAGCGTGTTACCTGTGAGTGGACAGGCTGGCACGCAGGTTGTGATTGAGGGCATGGAGCTGCTGGGCCATGAGACAGCGTTGGAGGCGGTGACGCTTGGCGGCGTGCAGGCGGCGGCGATTCTGAGCTTCAACCGGACGCACGTCGTGGTGACTGCTGGAGACGGCCCTGCGAGCACGGGGCCGGTTGTGCTGACTGCAAGCAACGGCTCGCGTGTGACTGGCGGCGCTGTGTGGACGCAGCTGGAGCGCGGCGCCATTGGCTCGGTGCAGCCGAGCAGCGGCCATGGCGGGACGCGCGTGACGATCACCGGGCAGCGCTTGCTTGGTGGCGGTGCTGCGCTTGCCTCTGTTGAGCTTGGGGGTGTGCTGGCGACGGAGATTGCCTGGGCCAACGACACTGTGGCTGTGGTGTCTGCCGGTGCAAGCGGCAGCGCGCTCGCTGGTGGAAATGTGACGCTGGTGGCGGACACTGGTGCTGTGACAACCGGGTCTGGCCTGTGGGCGTACGTTGCCCCGGCAGTCATCTCGTCTGTGGCGCCGACATCTGGTCAGGCCGGCACCGTGGTCACCATCCGCGGCAACAACCTCTCCATGGGTGGCGCCGTGCGTGAGGTGTTCCTTGCTGGCATCCCTGCTGTATCTGTTTCGCTTGTCAATGACAGCTTTGTTGTTGCCCATGCCAGTGGGGCATTGTCGGGGCGGTCTTCTCCTGCCGTTGTACGCAACAACTTCGGAGCTTTCGTGTCGTCATCCGTGAACTGGACGTACGTGCCGGCTGGTGCTGTTGACATCACACGCCCTGCTCGAGCCCAGTTCGGCACTCGCGTGACTGTGACTGGGTCCAACCTGCTTCAGGGTGGTGCTATCATTGCCTCTGCTTCGATGGCTGGGGTTCCTTGTACGGTGCTGTCGAGCAATGATACGACAGTTGTTGTGTCTGTGGCTGGTAACTTTGCTGCCACCGTTGCCAGTCCTTCGATGACGCTGGTTTCTGATTCGGGTGCTGTGATCACGTTCACTTCGTCCACAACGGCCGAACCGTCGGGCGTGGTGACCGCCATTTCCCCGTCTTCTGGTCAGTATGGCACATTTGTCACGCTGTCGGGGACGCAGCTGCTTGCGCATGCATCGAATTTGCGGACTGTGTCCCTGGCGGGTACGCAAGTGCTGTCGATCGAGTCGGCCACAGAGTCGGAAGTCATCGTGCGGGCCGGCCTGGGCGTAAACGGCACTGCTGGATCTCCCCGGCTGCGCGCATCTTCGGGTGGCGTTGTGGCTGCAGCGACCGGAGTCAATTTCACGTATGTGCGACAGGGCCGCATCGACACTGTCTCTCCTCTGTTTGGGCAGCTTGGTACCCTTGTGACTATCTCTGGGGAGCACCTGCTTAGCGGTGGCTCAAGTGCTAGTCGCGTTCTCCTGGCGGGCCTACCGGCTGCCGTTGTCTCGAGCAACAGCTCAGTGGTTGTGGCACGTGCGCCGTTGTCGAACTCGACATCCATCCGGACCGGCTCCGTTGTGGTGCTTGCAAATACGGGCGCTTTGTCTGCCGAAAGCTCAACCACATTCACCTTCCGGCCAGCGGGTTTCATTGCAAGCGTGTCCCCTTCATTTGGTCAGCGTGGCACGTATGTTGAGATTGCGGGGAACCGGCTGCTCGATGGCTCTGGTTTGCGGGAGGTGCTATTGGCCGATGTGCCAGCCGAGGTCCTGAGCGCGAACGACACGTTTGCGCTCGTTCGTGCGCAGGCATCCCTGCCGCGTGTTGGTGACGTCGTGGTGCGATCTGACTCTGGGTATGAGGTTGTATCATCTCAGGCGTTTGTCTACATTGCGCCGCAACACCCCGACACAGTTGTGCCAGCGTCAGGCCAATTTGGGACGCGCGTGACCATCAATGGAACAGGCCTTTTGGGCGGCGGTGCCACTGTGCAGACTGTGCAGTTTGACGCCGTGGCTGGCTCTGACCCTCGCGTGACGGCAGCTGGCATTGAGGTTTCTGCACCTGGCGGTGCCGCTGGTGTGCGGAACATTACGGTCGTGGCAAACACTGGCGCATACTTCACAGTGGCGCGTGCCTTCACTGTCATCGCCGAACCAAACGTGACAGCGATTACGCCGTCCTCTGGCCAAGCCGGCGCGTACGTCACTGTGTCTGGCACCGAACTCCTGGGTGGTGGTGCGTTTGCTGAACGCGTGTTCCTGGCCGGCGTGGAGGCGGACGTGGTCACGTCCTCGCCATCGAGTGTGGTGGTTCGTGCGCCTGTCTCAGTTGCCAAAGTGGGCCCCACTGTGATTGTTGCTGACACGGGAGCCACGACGACCTCGCTGCTCAACTTCACCTTCACCCCGCAGCTGTCCGTGACAAGTGTGAGCCCAAGCTCTGGCCAAGGCGGCACTCGTGTGACTGTTTTGGGGGCCAACCTTCGCTTGGGCTCGTCTGCGGTGACTGGTGTGCTTCTTGGAAGCGCGGCCTGCTCGCTCATCTCTGAGAATGACACGGCTGTTGTTTGTGCTGCTGGCGTCGCCTCGGCGGGATCCGTTCCCGTGACAGTTGAGGCGAGCTCGGGTGCTTTTGCTTCGGTCGGCGGCGTGCTTGCATTTGAATATCTGGATGCCGGCGTGATCAATTCCGTTGAGCCCGGGTCTGGCCAGCAAGGCACGCGCGTGGTCGTTTCGGGGCTGCGCCTGCTTGGCGGCGGCATTCGCGTGGACCAAGCGTTCCTCGGTGGTGTTGAGGCAACGATCCGGTCTTCATCGGCCTTTGCGGTCACGCTCGCTGCTGGTAACGGCTCCGAGCCGTCCAGCGGTGACATTGTGCTCATCGCTGACACGGGAGCTGTGGTGAGCCGCTCGGGTATGTGGACGTACACCGAGCCGTGTGGCGTGACAGACGTGTCGCCCCCTTCTGGGCAGGCGGGAACGCTTGTGACGATCACGGGCACCGGGTTCCCATGCACCGGCAGCAGCGTGTCGACAGTGTCCCTGGGTGGCGTGGGCGCGAGCATTCGCACCCAATCTGCCACCCAGATTGTTGTTGAGGCGCCATCCGGCTCTGGCCAGGGGGATGTTGTGGTCACGGCGGATGACGGCAGCTTTGCCGTGTCTCGTGGCGGTTGGGAGTTTAGTCGCATCTCAAGCGTGACGCCGGCTTCAGGCCAGTTTGGCACTGCGGTCACAGTCGCTGGGCAAGGCCTGCGCCTCGGCTTCAGCTCCGTGACGCAAGTGAGGCTGGGAGATGTTGCTGCGACAATCCTGTCGGAGAACAACACGCACGTGGTTGTTCGCGCTGGAACAGGCTCTCTCGTCGGTGTGCCGGTGGACGTGCAGGTCATTTCGTCTGGCGCGACGACCGTGCAGCAGTCGGTGGCTTGGACCTACCTCCGAGACGGCGTGGTGTCGTCGGTGGTTCCGGTGCAGGGCCAGCGGGGCACCCGCGTGACAGTGCGCGGTGAGCGCTTGCTCGGCGGCGGAAGCCGCCTCGAGCGTGTCCTGCTCGGTGACATCGCTGTGGACCGCATCCTGTCCTACAACGACACTGTTGTGGTTGTGGAGGCTGGCCTCTCCAACTCAAGCGCAGTCGTGGATGTGACGCTTGTGTCCGACACGCTGGCGGGGGTCACTGGCGAGAACGTGTTCACCTACGTTGAGCCAATGACACTGTATGGTTTGACGCGGGCAACTGGACAGGCGGGCACTGAGACTACCCTGCTAGGTCGCAGCCTCCTCGGGGGTTCGCTCGCTGTCACGGAAGTGCTCCTGGCGGGAACTGGAGCGCAGGTCATCGGCTTCAACGACACGCACGTGACTGTTCGTGCCCTGGCAGGCACGCCCGGTCAAGGCAACGTGGTGATTCGCACCAGCAATGGTGCTTACCTAGTCGCCATCAACGGCTGGAGCTTCAGCACGCCGGGCGCGATTGCCGCTGTCGAGCCTGTCTCTGGGCAGGCCGGCACCCGCGTGACCATTGTTGGCTCTCGCCTGCTGGGCGGTGGCTCCCGCGTGGCCAGTGTGGCGCTGGGCTCAGTCGTGCACACGTCCAGCGTGATCAGTGGCAATGACACACAGGTGGTTCTTGACGCCCTTGCGGGCCCGCCCGGCCTTTCTGATGTCATCATCACATCTGATACCAGGGCCACCGTGACGGCAGAGAATGTGTGGACCTACTTGCAGCCGGGTGTCATCCAGAGCGTTGATCCCCAGAGCGGCCAGGTCGGCACTCGCATCACCATCGTGGGCAGTGGCCTCCTTGGTGGCTCTGCTTTCGCTCGGGAGGTTGTGATGGGCAACTCAGTCCCTTGCTCTGTGCTTCGGGGCAACGACTCTGTTGTCGTGTGTGTGCTCGCTGACGCTGGTTCACCCGCTGCTGCCGTGGACGTCACGGTCGTGGGTGCTCGCGGTTCACGCGTGGTCGCATCTTTGGCCTTTGAAGTGTTGCCTGCCAGCAACATCACCTCGGTGTCCCCGCCCATGGGGCAGTACGGCACCATCATCACCGTGCATGGCTCTCGCCTGCGCGGTGGCGCGGACCGCGTTGTCTCGGCCACACTCGCGGGTGCCCCGGGCAGTGCGCGAGTCGTGCGTGAGAATGACACTGTCGTCCTCGTGCAGGTCCTCGTGGCGATGCCGGTGGCATTTGCAGACCTGAGGCTCACCGCTTCCTCTGGCGCGACAGTGACCTTCCCCAGCGCTTTCACTGCCCTCCTGCCCGGAACCATTGCAAGCGTCTTGCCGTTGCAAGGGCAAGCGGGCACCCGGGTGACAGTCACCGGAGCTCGCCTGCGTGGTGGCTCGGCTGCTGTCACGCGGGCAACCATTGCCGGAGTCGAAGCAACGGTTGTGGTGGAGTCCAATGACGTCGTGGTTCTGAGAGCAACAGCCGCCATGGCGCATCCATTGCAAGGCCCTGTTGTGGTCGTTGGCGAAGCAGGATCGCTTGTGTCAAATGCAATGATCAACTTCACGTACCTTGAGCAAGGTGTGGTGACCGCGGCTACCCCAGCCTATGGACAGCGCCACACCAGGGTGACGGTGACGGGCACCAACATATTGGGCGGCGGCAGTCGCATCGTCAACGCATCATTTGGCGGTGTGAGTGCACTGGACGTGCTGGCATCCAACAACTCCATGGCCGTTGTAATTGCCCCGCGTCTCCTTCCGGGACAGCATTCAATCCAGCTCGTCGCAGACTCTGGTGCTGTTGTGTCCAGCTCAAACCTGTTCACCGCACGCCTGGAGGGCAACATCACGTCTTTGATGCCAGGCTCGGGCCAACGCGGAACGCGCATCACCGTCAACGGCAATCGCCTGCGTGGCTCCGGGAATGAGGTTGTGTCTGCTTGGGTCGGCAATGTTCCGGCAACCGTGGTCAGTGAGGGCAACTCCCAGGTTGTCATCAGACCCACCAGCAGCGGAGCGGCGGGGACCTCCGTAAGGATCGTGCTCGTTGCTGACACGGGCGCTCGCGTTGAGACCGCCACCGTGCAGTTTGACTTTGTCCCACCGGGTGACATCCAAGCCGTTGGCCCAGCCTCTGGTCAAGAAGGCACCCTCGTGACGATCCGTGGCGAGAGGCTGCTGGGCAACGGCACAGCCTTGGCGTACACCTACATTGGTGGTGTGGCTGCCCAGATTGTGAGCGCATCTAACGACGAAGTCGTCGTCGTTGCTGGCCGATCAAGCAATCGCTTTACACTGGATCAGCATCCCGTCATCTCGGACATAGTGCTCGTGGCTGACAACGGTGCAGAGGTCGTTGCTGCTTCGAGCTTCACATACCTGCGCCCGGGCGTCATTTCGTCCGTGTTTCCTCTGTCAGGTCAGGCGGGAACCCGCGTGGGCATCTCTGGGGTGCGTCTCTTTGGTGGTGGCTCGCGCATTGTCAGCGTGTACCTTGGTGCGACGCAAGCACAGGTCATCACACAAACCGTGCACGCAGTCGTCGTCACCGCAAAGGCTGGAAACGTGTCAGCATCGCCAGAGCCAATTCGCATCGTGGCTGACACCGGGGCGGTTGTGACCTTGAACGACACGTGGTCCTACGTGCAGGCTGGGCGCGTCGCTTCGGTCAACCCCGCATCGGGCCACCAAGGGACGCTGGTCACAATTCAGGGCACGAGCCTCCTCGGGGGTGGAACCACTGCCGTGTCAGTCATGCTTGCTGGTAGCTCTGCGCTCGTGCTCTCCAGCAACGCCACAGATGTGGTGGTGACAGCAGGGCCTGGTGCCCAGAGTTCAGGAGATGTGGTCATCGTGTCTGAAACGGGCGCTACAGTGGCTCGTGGCGCTGCTTGGACGTACGTTGAACCTGGATTCATCCAACGTGCATCCCCTGCGTCGGGTACCGCTGGTACTCGCGTCACAATCACGGGCGCATCTTTGCTGGGCGGCGCCTCGACGCTCGCACGAGTCACGCTTGCGGGAGTGCCTGTGGACTCGATTGATCACCAGAGCAACGAAGTGGTCATCGTAACAGCAGCCTCAGGCGCGCAACGCATGGGCGCCATCGTGCTCACAGCTGATACCGGCGCTGTGGTGCAGCGGCTCAACTTCTGGGACTACATCGCCACGCCCGTGGTGGGTGAGATTGAGCCGAGCAGCGGACAGCTGGGCACTGTGGTGACGATCCGCGGCAGCAACCTGCTGGCCGGTGGCGAAGCGCTGCAGCTGGTGACGCTCGCCGGCGTGCCTGCAGAGGCCATTCTTTCCAGCAACAACAGCGTGGTGACGGTGTCGAGCGCTCAGGGCAGCGGCGCCACCGGCCCGGCTGTCCTGGTGGCTGCGGAGACAGGCGGTCGCGCTGTGGGCACCCCTTCTGTGAACTACACATACCTTGCTGGCAGCAGCATTGCTTCTGTGCAGCCTGCGAGCGGCCAGGGCGGCACGTTTGTTGACATTGTTGGCGAGCGCCTTCTGTCCGGTGGCAGTGCAGTGGCGGCGGTGAGCTTGGCTGGCGTTGCGGCTGAGGTGATCTCGGGCAACGATACGTTTGTGCGTGCGCGTGCGGGGCCATCGGCTGTGACCTTGACAGGCGACGTGGTCGTGACAGCAGACACGGGAGGCCGTGCCGAGCTCGTGAACGCGTGGGCGTACAACACGGCTGGTGTCGTTGATGCCGTAGTGCCAGGCTCTGGACAGCGTGGGACGCGCGTCACCATCCAAGGCACGCGACTGCTTGGCGAGGGCACGCGCGCGGTGCGCGTGTCCCTGGGAGATGTGCGTGCACACATCGTGGAAAGCACTGCGACAGCTGTCGTTGTGGTTTACCCCGGCCGCGTCACGCTTGGCGTGCATGATGTTGAGGTCGAGTCTGACACGGGGTCGGTGGTGTCTGCCCCGGCCGCGTGGACGGCTCTGGACAACGGCGTGGTGCACTCTGTCAACCCGGATGTGGGCCACGGTGGTACGGTTGTGACCATCCGCGGCGTGCGGCTGCTGGGCGGCGGCGACAGCGTTGCCGACGTTGCCCTTGCTGGTGTTGTGACTGCCAATGTGGTGAGCGCAAACAACAGCGTCGTGGTTGTCGTCGCTGAGCTTCAGGCGCAGGCGGTGACACTGGGTGACGTGGTGGTGCGTGCAGACACCAACGCAACGGTGGTGTCCAGCACGGGCCTGTTCGACTACGTGGCCCCTGGCGAGATTGTGAGCGTGTCGCCGTCGTCGGGCCAGCTGGGCACTGTGGTGACAATTGAGGGCAGGTCGCTCCGCGGCGGCTCGTCTGCCGTGGTTGACGTCGTGCTTGGCGGCGTGTCTGCGCTCGATGTGGTGTCTGAGAACGACACGCGCGTGGTTGCTGTGGCTGGGCCCAGCAGCGGAGCAACCGGTACGGAGAGCGTGCAGGTTGTGGGGCAGCAGGGATCTGTGGTTGCTCGTCCCAGCGTGTGGTCGTATGTTGCACCGGCAGAGGTGCTGGATGTGGCGCCCCAGCAGGGCCGGGCTGGAACACGGGTGACCGTGCGAGGCCAAGGCCTGCTGCAGGGCGGTGGGCGTATTGCGCAGGCAACCGTGGCTGGCGTGACAACCGCGCGCATTGTCGACAGCAACGACACAACCGTCGTTCTCGAGGCCGAGGTGGCACCGGCAGGCGTCACGCCTGTGGGCGACGTGCAGCTTGTCTCTGACACAGGCGCACGAGTGAACGCAAGCGTGACCTGGCAGTATCTTGCTGCAGCTGTGATTGACTCTGTGCAGCCCACAAGCGGGCAGGAGGGCGTTTTCGTTGAGTTGCGAGGCCAGCACCTGCTTGGTGGCGGCAGCGCCATTGTGGATGCCTCACTTGCTGGCGTTGCTGTTGAGCGCGTTGTGCAGAGCAACGACACGTTTGTGCGGGTTGTTGCTGGCGCGAAGAACGCGTCTGTGGTGGGCGACGTGGTCGCGCGCGGAGACACAGGTGCCCTGCTGCGAGTTGTGAACGGCTGGCAGTACGCAGTGCCGAGTGTGATCAACTCTGTTGTGCCGGCGTCTGGGCAAGAAGGCACGCTGGTCACCGTCAGTGGCGTGCGTCTGCTGGGCAGCCTCCCTGGCAGGATCACGTTCGTTGAGGTGTGCGGCACAGAGGCCGAGGTTGTGAGCGAGAGCGATACGCTTGTGGTTGCGCGACTGCGGTCCAACGGCGGAGCGAGCCAGCTTGGCGATGTGGTCGTGCGGGCAGACAATGGCGCACGCACTCGCGCCGTGAATGGCTTCACGTACCTGAGCACGTCCATGATCGCGGCAGTGACGCCCGCAGAAGGGCAGTACGGAACGCGCGTGACCATCACGGGCCAGCGGCTGCTCGGCGGCGGTGCGGCGGTGCAGGCTGTGGAGCTTGCGGGCGTTGCAGCAACGGTGGTGAGTGGCAGTGACACAGAAGTTGTTGTCGCTGCTGGCAATGGCACGGCTGGAGACGTCGGCGACGTGGTGATCACGAGTGACTCCGGCGCCGTGTCTGTTGATGCCCTTGCTTGGCGATACCTGGATGCATCGCACATCACGTCTGTGACACCAAGGCACGGCCAGAAAGGTACAGTTGTCACAATCAACGGGACACTGCTTCGCGGGCACGGTAGCGGCGTTGCGGTGGTGTTACTGGCCGGCGAGGCTGCGAATGTCCTGTCTGAGAGTGACACAAGCGTTGTCGTTGCAGCGAGCGCCTTTGGCGGCAGCAAGTCCGGGCCTGTGACGATTATTGCGTCCAACGGTGCCACGGCGGTGTCTACACCAACGGCATTTGAGTACCGCGCCCCTGGTGCGGTGTCTGCGATTGTTCCGAACAGTGGACACCGAGGCACGTACGTCACCATCAAGGGCAGCAACCTGCGCGGCCATGGCCCGACGGTGATGAGCGTGACGCTCGGTGGTGTTGCTGGGCACATCGTTTCGGAGAACAGCAGCAGCGTTGTTGTGCGCGTGGAGCGGCTGAGCGTCGCCGTTGCGACGCCCGTGGACGTGGTGCTGACGTCGAGGTCTGGTGCGCAGGTGGCCGCTGCAGGTGCATTTACGTACTTGGTTGAAGGCTCGGTTGCAGACCTGCTACCGGCACAAGGCCAGCGCGGGACAGCGGTGTCGCTGTCTGGCTCGAACCTGTGCGGTGGCGGTACGGCGATTGTTGCGGTGACACTGGGCGGTGTCGCCGCCAGCCTCAAGCCGACATCCACGTGCAACCTGGTGCAGTTTGTGGCTGGCAGCCGCAACAATACGGCTGCTGAGGCCGTTGATGTTGTGCTCGAGAGCAACACGGGCGCGCTGATTGAGGGCACGGGCCGATGGACGTATGTGGTTGAGGGCGCCATCTCCAGTGTGCTCCCACCTGGCGGCGTCGCAGGAACGCTCGTGACCATCCGGGGCTCCAACTTGCTTGGCGGCGGCTCGACTGCGGCTGGTGTGACGCTTGCCGGCGTGAGCGCAAGCGTGGAGCAAGCGAACGCCACTCACGTGATTGTCACTGCCAACCGCGGCACGACAGCAGGCGACGTTGTGGTGACCAGCGACACGGGCTCGAATGTTGTGTTGCAGGACGGGTTTACGTACAGCCGCATCAGCAGCGTGTCGCCGGCGGAAGGCCAGGAAGGCACGCGTGTGCGGTTGGATGGCGTTGGGTTCTTTACAGGCGGCGCCTCCGTGGATCGTGTGGAGATTTGCGGCGTGGCATCGTCTGTGACAAACCAGAGCGACAGCCGATTGGACGTGGTTGTGCCCGCAGCCACGACACTTGTGCCACCCCTTAGGTGCGACGTGGAGGTGGTGAGCGCGTTTGGCGTTAGCATTGTCGCAGCGGACGCGTTTGACTATCTGGAGCCTGGTGAGATTGCTGCCGTGACACCAACGAGCGGGCACGAGGGCACTGTTGTGACTGTGTCTGGCGCGCGCTTGCTTGGCGGCGGATCCCAGGTGGCGTCTGTGACATTTGCAGGCGTGGAGGTGCATGACGTTCTGACGCAGAGCGACAGCGAGATTGTGGCTGTGCTGCGCAGCGGCGGTGCTGGGGGCTCGGGCGACGTTGTCGTGGAGTCGGACACCGGTGCCGTCGTGCGGCTTGCGGCGGGCTTCCGGTATGTGCCGCAGGCGCAGATCCTGCACTTGACGCGGGCGAGCGGGCAGGTTGGCACGGAAACGACCATCGTTGGCGAGGGCTTGCAGATGGGCGACGTGATTGTGAGCGTGCTGCTGGCTGGCGTGCCAGCGCAGGTGCTGTCGCAATCGGACGTGAACGTGACAGTGCGGGCGAACACAAGCACGCCAGCGACTGGCGATGTGATGCTGGTTGCAGGGAGTGGTGCCTTTGTTGAGCTGGTCAACGGCTGGACCTACGACGACGCCGGTGCCATTGAGGACGTGCAGCCAGCGCAAGGATTTGCCGGCAACCTGGTGACGATTAGCGGTCGCGGCCTGCGAGGCGGAAGCGCCGCTGTGACTCGCGTCACCCTTGTGGGTGTGCTGGCGACAGAGATTGTGCACGAAAACGACACGGTTGTTGTGGTGCGCGCGGGCTTGCCTGTGGATCCGTTTGTGATGCAAACAGGCCGGGTGGTGGTGATGGGCAGCAGCGGAGCCACCATCACCGCGCTGGACGCTTTTACGTACAACGTTGCTGGCGACATCACAGACGTGTCGCCGTCGTTTGGCCGGGTTGGCACGCGCGTGCGCCTCTTGGGCAGCAATTTGCTTGGCGGTGGAACGTCGGCAGAGGTGCGGTTCGGCGGTGTGACAGGCGCTGTCACTGCGGTATCTGAGACTGCCATTGACGTCACTGTGCCTGCTGCGTCTGGGCCCAGCGGACTCGTGAATGTGAGCATTGTCTCTGATAGCGGATCCCATGTGTTGGAGGTTGCAGGCTTCCGGTACACGGCCCCAGGCAGTGTGGCGGCGGTGGCGCCTTCCAGCGGCCACGAGGGCACAGTTGTGACGATTTCGGGTGCAAGCCTGCTGGCAGAAGAGGCTGACGCTGCCCGCGTGACGCTTGGCGGCGTGAACGCGACTGTGGTGTTCGCCAACGACACGCGTTTGGTCGTGGTGGCTGGTGCTTCCTCGACAGCCGGGCTTGGCGACGTGTTTATCGAGACGGTCGGTGGCGCGCGTCTGCTGGCAGCCAATGCATGGATGTACGTTGCGCAAGCGACGATTACGGATGTGCAGCCTGGCTCTGGGCAGGTTGGCACGCGGGTGACCATCAGGGGCACGGGCTTGCGCTGCGGTGGCGCAGCAGTGACGAGCGTGCTTCTGGGCTCTGCAGTGGCGCCCGTTGTCACGGAAGACGACACGACAGTAATTGCGGAGGCGCCAGCACGTGCGGTTGGTGCATCACCTGTTGACGTGACAGTTGTGGCCGACACGGGTGCATATGTGACCGCCGACGACGCGTGGACGTTTGTGACAGCAGGCGCTGTGAGCTCGGTGGTGCCGAGCAGCGGACAGGAAGGCACACGGGTCACGTTGAGCGGAACCAACCTGCTTGGGTCTGGCAGCGGCGTGGACCAGGTGCTGCTTGCGGGCGTTTCTGCGACAGTTGTGAGCGCAGCCTCTTCTGAAGTGGTTGTGATTACGTCTGCGCTGCCTGGTGGCGTCGTCGGTCCTGTGACTGGCAACGTGACGGTTGTGTCGACGTCGGGAGCCTTGGTGCATGCTGACACGGACTCATTTACATACGTGCGGGCGGGCGCAGTGACGGGCGTGTCGCCGCTTGCTGGCGTACAAGGCACGCGTGTGACTGTGACCGGTGAGCGTTTGCTTGGAGGCGGAAGCTCCATTGCTGCTGTACAGGTTGCTGGTGTGGAAACACGTGTGATTGAGTCCAGCAACAACACGCATGTTGTGCTGCGAGCAAGCAACGGCACGGGGAGCGGAGACATTGAGCTGATTGCGGACACGGGCGCGAAGACTGTGGCGAATGTGACGTTCAGCTACCTGGAGCTGGGTGTTATTACTGCAGTGCGCCCGGCTATTGGGCGCGTGGGCACGCTCGTGACGATTGAGGGCGAGCGGCTTCAGAGCGGAGGGAGCGCTGTGGCACGCGTTGACCTGGGTGGTGTTCCTGCAACGCTGCTGCACGGCAATGACAGCACGGTTGTTGTGATTTGCTCTGCAGGCAGCGGTGCTGGTGCGGTGCGCGTGACAAGTGACGTTGGCGGCTTTGTGGAAGGTTTGCTGTGGACATTTGTGGACTCACGCATCGACAGTGTGGAGCCGAGTCAGGGCTCAGAAGCGACACGTGTGACGACATCTCCTGCAAGAGGGCTGTTTG